TTCACTTGTGAATGATGTTGGTGGAAGTAATAGGGGCAGTGCATAAATAGAAAGAAAGAGAAATTAAGATGAGCTACGGAGATAAAAATCCATGACTTCTCCTGAATAAATGACCATAGTCGAAGTAAGATGAGTGACACTGGGTTACTGTGGTCGTAGCCGAAGTGAAATATGGGACACTGAGTCACTGTGGTCGTAGCCGAAGTAAAATGAGTGACACTGGGTCACTGTGGCCGGAGCCGAAGTAAAATGAGTGACACTGGGTCACTGTGGCCGGAGCCGAAGTAAAATGAGTGACACTGGGTCACTGTGGCCGTAGCTGAAGTAAAATACTTGTCAAAATTTAAAATGTACAAAAGTGGAAAGGAGTGTTGAAATGGGCTTAAATGGGCCTGTCTGAGAGGTTTGACTAAGACGCGGCACGTGACGCGACAGCTATCCTCTGAATGACGTGCGAAATAAATGCTGCTGTAAAAAAGATAACTGCAACAGTCCAACGGGTAGATTTGAAAAGCGAACCGTCGAATTCGAAACGGTGTCGTTTAATAGTTAACCGTCGAATTCGAAACGGTGTCTCTACAGCCGTTAGATTGAATTAATCACAGCCGTTAGATTGAATTAATCACAGCCGTTAGGGCGTATTTTGCCTTTGGTATAAAAGGCTATACTTCTGTAAAAGGAGACTTTTTTACTCTCGTTATTTTGCTAGTATATCCTTGTGAAATTTCTACTAAATTTTTGCGGTTTCGTGCGGTTTGCGCTTCGATTAAGACTTCAACAACAGTTTCGTAAGATCAAAATCAGGTAAAATGTACAAATTTTTAAGGTTAAATACCCTTTTTGGTCCCTCTACTATAGGAAAAAGCCCCTTTTTAGTCCCTATACCGAAAAAATCCCCTTTTTGATCCTTACAGTTTGAAATCCGGCCCCTTTTTAGTCCTTCTGTCAGTTAAGTGACAGCGTGGCACAATTATCCGTTAAATGTCTTTTTTTTTTCTTTTTAATGGTGACATGGGATTACAAGTGGCAAAATTGATGAGTTGGCAATGAGATTTATTTTCCATGTAATCAACAGGTCCTAAAATAATTAAAATAATTAAAAGAAAAAAATATTGTTTCCTTTATCTCTTCATTTTCCATTTCTATCCTCGTCTTCTTCCTAAGCCCAAATCCCCAATCCTCTCTACTTTTGCCTAAACTTAATCCCCTCTAATCCCATTGATTTCTTCTTCTTTGCCAAACCTTCCTCCATCACTTAATCCCCCTCTAATCCCAGGCGTGACTTGGGTTCATCGCGCCTGAGTTCATCTTGGGTTCGCGACGAACCCAAAGCACGCCTGGGTGGTTCGTCCTGGGTTTTTCTCAAACCCAGGATGAACCCAGCTCGCAAGACTAGGTTATCAACGAACCCAGCTTGCGCCTGGGTTCATCACAAACCCAGGCGCGAGCTGGGTTCTCGATCTCTGCCAAATCGACAGCGCCGAGGCCCAAGGCCAC